GAGGTAAGGTGGCTAAGAGGGGCTGGAGGGAGGAAGTGAGGGGGAAAGGTGGTATAATTCTATTTCAATAAAAACATTAAAGTAAGCTGGGCAGTGGTGGCACATGCCTTTGATCCTGGCACTTTGATCCCAGTGGAGGCAGAGGCAGGTGGATCTCTGTGAGTTTGAGGCCAGCCTGGTCTACAAAGTGACAGCCACGGTTGTTACATAGAGAAACCCTGTCCTGAAACTCCCCCTCCCAAAAATATTAAAATAAAATAATAAAATTAAATAGTACAAGTTGTAAAATGATATGTGAAACATGAGAACTTTTTTTTGAGACAAGGTCTCACTATATGTTGAGCCTTAATCTCATGGCAATCTTCATGACTCAATGTATAATTTAAAAAAATTTAGGGGTTGGGGATTTAGCTCAGTGGTAGAGCCCTTGCCTAGAAAGCACAAGGCCCTGAGTTCGATCCTCAGCTCTGGAAAAAGAAAAAGAAAAAAGAAAAAAGAAAAAAGAAAAAAGAAAAAAAATCTAGAAAACATTACATGATATATATATATATATATCTCACATATATAAGCAATATACACACATACATACATACACACACATATGGAGATCTACAAGCAATATCTTTAAAGGAGAACCACCAACCAGGCATAGGACCATCTAGCTACAATCCTGGCACTCAAAAGACTGAGGTAGGGGTGATCAAAGCAAGAGGCCAGCCTGGGCAACATAATGTGTGCTGGCTAGTTCATGTCAACTTGACATAAGCTGAAGTCAGGTATCTATGAGGAGGGAACCTCAGTTAAGAAAATGTCTCGGGCTGGAGAGATGGCTCAGTGGTTAAGGGCACTGACTGCTTTTCCAGAGGACCAGGCTTGGATTCCCAGCACCTGCACGGCAGCTCATACCCATACCTGTCTGTAACTCCAGTTCCAGAGGATCTGACACTCAAGGCAAAACACCAATGTATATAAAATAGAAATAATTAAAAAGAAATGAAAATGCCTCAAGTCAGGTGTGGTGGCATATGTCTTTAACCCCAGCACTTGAGGCCTGCCTGGTTTACAGAGAGAATTCCAGGACAGAAAGGACTACTAAACCCTGTCTCACAAAACCCAAACCCAAAACAAAACAAACAAAAAAAGGGAAAGAAAAGAAAAAAGAAAAAGCCTCCTGAGGTCAGGCTGGAGGCAAGCCTCTAGGGCATTTTCTCAATTAGTGACTGATGGGGAAGGGCCCAGCCCATGGTAGTGATACTATCCCTGGGCTGCTGGTCCTGGGTTCTATAAGAAAGCATGCTGAGCAAGCCATAGGAAGCAAGCCATAGGAAGCAGCTCCCCTCCAAGGCCTCTGCATCTGCTCCTGCCTCCAGGTTCCTGCCCTGTCTTAATTCTGTCCTGATTTTCCTCAGTCTTGTGATATAGAAGTATAAGCCAAATAAACCCTTTCCTCCCCTAACTTGCTTTTGGTCATGGTGTTTCAATCACAGCAATAGGAACCCTAACCAAGACATAGTGAGAGCCTGTTTCAAAAAAAGAAAAAAAAAAAAACAATCAGGTTGGGCAGTGGTGGTGCACGCCTTTAATCCCAGCACTTGGGAGGCAGAGGCAGGAGGATATCTGTGAGTTTGAGGCCAGCCTGGGCTACCAAGTGAGTTCCAGGACAGCCAGGGCTACACAGAGAAATCCTGTCTTGAAACAAACAAAAAATCAGGAGAGAACAAACAAATACAGGATGTTGATTACCTCTAGAAATACATAGGAGGCTTCATTTTTTGTCTAATATTTTATCTTCTAAACTGGATGGTAAATATGTGGGTGTTTGCTACACATTTTCAATGGTTTGTGGGCCTGAAATAAATAATTCATATTTTTATTTATAATTTTAAAGTCAAAGATATACAACAAAATATTAATAATAGTTAAATTTATATCAGCAGTGGCTTATTAGGGTTTTTTTTGGGGGGGAGGCTTTCAAGACAGAGTTTCTCTGTGTAGACTTGGCTGTCCTGGAACTCACTCTGTAGACCAGGCTGGCCTCGAACTCACATTGATTCACCTGCCTCTGAGTGCTGGGATTAAGGGCATGTGCCACCAGCTGCCTGGTTAGTTAGGCTTGGCTGTGATAAAACACCATGACCAAAACTAACGTGTTATCTGAAAGGGTTTATTTCAGTTTACACTTTCGGGTAACTGTCCATCACTGAGGGAAGTCAGAGCAGGAACTCAAATAGGGTAAGGAACCTGGAGGCAGCTGCTGAAGCAGAGACCATGGAGGAGCGAGTGCTGCTTACTGGCTTGCTCACCACGGTTTGCTTGCTCAGCCTGCTTTCTTATTATCCCCATCCCAGGAACTCTTGCACCACCTGTCCAGAGTGACACCTCCCACAATGGGCTGGGCTCTCCCACACCAATCACTAATTAAGAAATTTGCGCCCCCTCCACACACCTACAGGCCAATCTTGTGGAGGCATTTCCTCAACTGTGGTTCCCTCTTCTCAGATGACTCCAGCTTGTGTCAGGTTGACAAAAACCCCAACCCAACCAACCAATCAACCAAACTCCCAGAAAAAATAAAACTACCAGCCTAGACAAATAACTTTCTAATTCTGACCAGCATCAGAGTCATTGGGCTGGCTTATTAAAATATTAGTAATGGGGCCCCATGGCCAGAATTTTAATTAAGAAAATTAGGTTTGACTCATGAATTTGCATTTCCAACAAATTCCAGAATGGTCATGTCCTCTGGTAGTCCAAGCACCACATTTTGAGAACTACTAATGGAAAAAATAAGATTATTTTCGAATTTTATCCTCCTTACATTTCTGTGTTTTTCATGTACCCAAGAAGCATGCATTACATTACAGGTTTTGTTGTATCCTAAACTCACTTTCATCTAGACTCCGCACTTTCATGTTCTTTCTGGAGACAACCATTGAAGATCCACGACTGAACTGGAGATGGGAACTGGAGATGTAGTTCAGATGCTAGAGTGCTTGCCTAGCATGCTAGAGGCAATGGGTTGGATCCACTGCAGGGCACAAATTTAAATCGGGTGTGCTGGTACATATTTACAATCTGATTACTCCAGAAGTGCATGGAGAAGGAGTTCAAGGCCATCTTTGCTACACAGAAATTCTGAGGCCATACTGGACTACAAGATATTCTGTCTCAAAACCAAGAATTTCCTTTTTAAGACATTCTGGCTGTGCAAAGCAGGCTCTTCTTCAATTCCTGATCCTCCTGTCTTAGACTCTTGTAGTCCTGAGGATTCCAGGTATGCACTAACATACCTGACACTTATTTTTCTCTTTATCCTGACCCATTTTTCCCAATGCTATCTACTAAATTGTTCAATCCCCATTTATTTGCAGTGCAGGTCTTAATTTCACTTAACAAATTTGCTTGAAGCCTGTATTGTACTGAGTGTCCTTGAGAGTTCAAAGACAAATTGTCCCTGCTCTAAGGAGTCCTCTCTCCCGTGCTAATGAAGCCATGTTAAGTATAGTATAGGGACTGGAGAGATGGCTCAGGGGTTAGGCGTGCTTCTTGCTCTCTTGCTGAGGTCCTGGGTTTGATTGCAAGCATTCATATGGTGGCTCACAACCATCAGCAACTCCAGTTTCAAGGGATCCAACGCTTTCTTATCTCTTCAGGCATCAGGCACTTATGTGGTGTACATACACACATAAAGGCAAACACTTGCACACATAAAATAAAACGAATCTATTAAAAAACTTTAATAAAAAATTACTATAGTGTAGCCAGGCGGTGGTGGCACACGCCTTTAATCCCAGCACTTGGGAGGCAGAGGCAGGTGGATCTCTGTGAGTTCGAGGCCAGCCTGGGCTACCAAGTGAGTTCCAGGAAAAGCGCAAAGCTACACAGGAGAAACCCTGTCTTGAAAACCAAAAAAAAAAAAAAAAAAATTACTATAGTGTAGTATTGTGCTAAATCCCAGACAGGTAAAGGCAAGGACTGCTATGATTCTTACTCAACTGGGAGCCAGGGAAAGTGTCATAAAAACAATTGCATAGAAACTTCATATAAGTGTCAGGAGTTAGGCTTTAGAGAAATAGAACCTGCAAATGTTCTGACGACTTTGGGGGTTCGGAGGAATCTGGTCTAGGGTGAAAGATAGCAGTGAATCCTATACTGTAAGAGGAAGGCGGGCAAAAGGGTTATTTTCAGCAGGGATGGGTTGAAAGGGAAGAAACACTCCTTCAGGGTGTGTCTTACCTAGCCCAACCCCAGCCCTAAGGTTTAGGCTTGAGGAGGGAGAAAGGACTGGAATTAAATGACCAGGAAAGATGTAAATTAATAGTTACTTTTTTTTTTGAGGGACATCTCACTCCCCAGTCAAGTCAGGAGTCTCTTGAAATGCTTTTTAAAGGCATCCTTACCTACCCTCGCTTTACAGATACGTTTAGTTTCTGCAGACATAGGAATCATACATGAGGGAGAGGAGAGAGTAAACCGGTGGATGAAAATCCCAATAGTTTAGGTTCCTGCTCCGGGTGAGCTTTGCTATGTTTCAGGGTCCTATGAGACTGGAAGGCTGCTGAGAACAGCTAACTAACTCACTTCAGGTGGGAAATACTCGTCCAGACAGACACGTGATCCCGGCGGCCATTTTCTCGCACCCGGCCTGTCGCCATCGCCATCTTCCAGAAGGACAAACGATTGCCCCCTACCCTCTTCTATCGCCGCCAGTGATTTCTTTGACGTCTAAGACTGGAGATCATGTATCTTTTTTTTTTTTTTTTTTGGTTTTTCGAGACTATGTATCTTTAACCCTAGCCAGGAGGTCGCACAAAAGAGCTCGTTTTACAAATAGCTTTTGTGGCCACACGAGTTTATACACACACACACACCCCGCCCTCACCATCGCCCCGCTGCCGCCCCCCCTTTGCTATTTCTTTACCCGCGGGCAGCCAGGAGGCGGGGCCAGCGTGGGAGCCGGGGCGGGACTGCGCGGAAGCAGCAATTATCGCGAAACTCCGCCCCCGCGCAGTACGCAAAAGAGGCGGAGCCACTAGCTGGGCTGGGATCCGGAAGTCCGGGCGGAGCCTAGCTGCGCGGTCGTCGTCAGGCAGCGTTGTGCTTCCAGCAGCTCTCGGAGGTCCCTGCCGGAAGTGTAGGTAAGAGACTACTCTTCTTTTTTCCCCCTCGTTAGCGCTCACCTAGCCAGCAGTGCAGTAAGGATCGTTTTTTTTTAAAGGTGAAACCAGAGAGGTACGCCATCCAGGAATAGAGAGGTGAACCGCTGGCTCGCTTCTGAGGTAGAAGGGCCCAGAAGAGGGATACGGATAGCTCCACGTGTGGAGATGCGCTGAACTGCATTCTGGCGGCCCCAGAGGGAGCCTACAGAGATGCACTCGGGGCCATATGCGTGATACAAAATGTCGGTTGCCTTCTGCCTTTCAGGATATTTGGCGTCATTTCGCTTTCCTGCCATTACTCTCTTGTAGACAGACGCCCCCTTCCATGTAGGAGCAGACCTATTACGTTTATATCGCATTACCTAATTTGTAGACAGGTGTCAACCCATCAAAATGGTGGCGGTGACATCGGCCCTGACGTATCAGCAAATAATTTCCAATACAAAGCTGAACAGTAGAGACTTCTGGCTGATTAAGGCACGGATCTTCATCGAGGCATCTCCTTGTCCACCTCCATACTGGTATAGAGGAGCTCAGAAATACGTAATATCTAGAGGAAGAGAACTCCTGATATAGAGACCTGCCCTTCCCGTGTTTACCCTTCTCCTGTAGAGTAACTAATTGACACCGTCATTCTGAATATCAAAATGATTAGAGACACATGCCTATGGGCAGCTACACAGACTTATTCCCCCCCCTCCATGGAGATTCCTCACCGTGGAAAATCAGACGCCATACTTACCCCATAATGAATGGCTGTTTTACTGACTTTGTAAAGGCCCACCCCCAAACTGGCTCACAGTACATGGGAATAGACTTTAGTCCATTGAGAGGAAGTTATTATGTCTGTCAAGGAGATCTCAGGGTGAGTGACTCAGATTTATTCTCCCTCCTTTTGAGGTAGACACAGACTGCACCCTCCAAATGATTAATAATCACCAAATTGACCAAGAGAGAGGCATCTGTGCACTAGAGATGCAGATCGTCCCCCCCTCATTTAGCCTTGACAGCTAGTGATATCACTGATTACCCTACAATATAGCGCATTTGAACTCTCCTTTTTTTCCCCCAGAGCTAAGGACCGAACCCAGGGCCTTGTGTCTACCACTGAGCTAAATCCTCAACCCCTAACTCTCTCCTTATCTAAAGTATAGGAGCTTAGATTTCTTCTCACCTAGGGTAAAATGAGAGATGCATACTTCCCAAGGTAGGAGCAGATTCATTGAGTTTATAATTGCATGGCCTTATGCCTTCCTATTTCTTAGCCATATAGAGAACCGGAGGCCCTATTCCCTTCACTACTAATATGTACTGCTGACTTTAACCCACATGAAATGTACACACACCATTCCAGTCCACCACCTATGGAAGGATTCAGAATAGCCTCCATTAGGCAAAAGTGTGTGGACCCTCCTCATTCAAAGCTGCAGGATTTCCTTCATGCTACCTCTTCATAGAAATAAGCATAGTAGCCTTGCTCCTTATTGACAGATGAGTAAAGAGAACTAGGCTCTTCCTTTTCCAACATTAAGAAGTGCCTGGATCAGTGCTCTCTCATGTAGCAGAGACACACACAGCCACTGTGTTGATTTCTTAAGTCAGTGACCCAAGAATAGAGGGACAAATGACTAATCCTTTCTATTGTCAGGGTACAGACCCCAGCTACATATGCAGGTGAGATTTGCCCCTCCCCCCACAAGCCCCGAGATTTGGCATTGACTTCAACCTATGCAGACATAAGTAAGAATTCTAAGAACCTAATTCTCTAGGGTAGAATCCTGGGATTTGTTCCCTTCCACATCTCTAAGGGTAGGTGACTCACAGAAGCCCCCTTTGAAAAAGCACACTATCAGTCCACTTCATGAAATAACAAGTCATTTGCTCTTCTCCCCAGTGTGGAGGGGCTTAGCACTAGTCTTTTACCTATGATATGACATGACAAGTATTCATTCAATGTATTGGAGGAATGGACTCCATCCAGGAAGAGAGATTCTGATCTACTCTCTTGAAGTGATACAATACTCCTTTCCTTGCGTGTACTCAGCCATATCAGGCCCTAGGTCCAATTGGTCCTTCCTGATCATGTTCTGTGATGTGCTATTTTGCCTTTAAGAGGCTTAAAAGGGAGTAGTTGTGTGTCCTAGGTCTGTCTTAAAGTCGCTGCCTTTATTCCAACAGGAAGAAAGTGGCAGATTTGAACGTTTCTCTTGGCAAGCTTGTCTGATCATCATGATGAAGCTTAGACACAGTGAGTTTCCTCTACCACCCTCTCCCAGTCCTATACATTCAGTATTCATGTTATTTCACAACAACTTTGCTGTTTTTCTTTTTTATTTGTTTTGAGGTTGGCCTTGAATTTGCTGTGTATCTGAGGCTAGTCTTGAACTCTTGATCCTCCTGCCTGAACCTCCCAAGTGCTGGATTTGCAGGCATGCTCCACCACATGTGTTTTTTTGTTTGTTTGTTTTTTAGACTAGCCTCAAGTTCTTTAAGTAGTCCATTGTGGCCTTAAACTCCCCTTTTATCCTGCATCAGCCTCTCAAGTATTGAGGCTGTAGGAATGTGGTGCTAGGCTTAGCTCACAACTTCAAAATTACTCAGTATGTCCCTGCTCTCTCAGTCCGAGTCTTTTACATATGGTACCTTTGTAATTCTCATAACTTCTTGTAAGGTTGTTAGTTCTTCCTTTCTCCCCATTCTCATTTCATAGATGAGAAAATGGAGGCTCAGCAAGGGGAAGTGGCTGAATCTGAGGTAAACAGCAGTAAATAGTATATGATGCTGCATAATAGCCCCCAGCATATCTGTCTTTATAACTTACATCTTTCAGCTGATACCATAAGTTGTACTGGTTTTATGCTGGAGCCACATTGAGTTTCAATCTCACCTCTGTTTTTCTTTTTTTAATTAGCTCTGTAGCCTTGGCCAAGTCATTTAACTCCACTTTCCTTATTTACAACACAGAGGTCATTAATTATGATGTCTCCCTATTTGTATTGTTTTGGGGATTTTGTTTGTCTTGACATAGGGTCTTTCCAGGTAGCCTATGCTGGCTTTGTCATCTTTCTGCCTGACTCCATCCCTGAATTGCTGGCATTGCTGTCATGAGGCACCACACCTGTCAGGAGGAATTTCTTTTTCAGTCGGTGCTCATGTAGACCAACCTGGCCTTAAACTCACTATGTAGTTGAGGATGACTTTGAACTTTTTCTTTCTTTTTCTAGACAGGGTTTTTCTGTGTAACAGCCCTGGCTGTCCTGGAACTTGATTTGTAGACCAAGCTGGCCTCCAACTCGCAAAGATCCACCTGCCTCTGCCTTCTGAGTGCTGGGATGAAAGGAGTGCACCACCCGGCAACCTTGAATTTCTAATGTTCCTGTTTCCATTTCCTTAGTCCTAGGGCTACCGGTTTATGAAACCATGCTCAGAATAGGATTAAAAACTATTTATTCATTTGTGTGTGTGTGCGCGCGCGTGCGCGAGTGCGAATGCACGCTTGTATTGGCATGGCACATATGTGGAGGTCAGAGACAACTTGTGGGAGTCACTTCTCTCCCTCTGCCATGTGAGCCAACGGGATTGAATTTAGGTTGTCAGGCTTGCTGACAAGCAGCCTTTTACCCACTGAATCATTTTGCTGGTTCCAGGGTAGTTTTTTGAGATTGTGTCTCACAGTATTTCTCATAATGGTCTCAAATGCTGGGCACAAGGCATCCTCTCATCCTAGTCTCCTGAGTATCTGGAATTATGAAGAATTAATGACTTTAAAGAGATGAAATGGTTAGAACAGTGCCTGGTACTTTGTAAGCACTTTTATAAGTACAATCATTTCTCTGTTTCCATAGGAGACCATTTTTCAAGATCTTTGGCAGATTAAAAAAAAATCAGTGAATATTCAATTCCCTCTGTAAAACAGCATGGCATTTGCATCTAGTCTACACATATCTTCCCCTGTGTTTTAAAACTTTTCAAGGCTACTTGTAATGATCTAATAGAATGTAGATCATATGTAAATGGTTGTTAGACTTGTTTAGGAAATGATGACAAATAATATCCAGTACACATACAGTTCCTTAATCTAGTCTGTTTGTTCATATGCATGCCATGGTACATGTGTGAAGGTCAGAGGACATCTTTCAGGAGTGAGATCCTTCCATTATGTGGGCCCCAGGGATCGAATTCAATTCATGAAGCTTAGTGGCAAGTTCCTTTACCCACTGAGCCATCTTGCTGGCCTCTAGATGCAGTTATTGTTTCAGTTAATTGAGTCTGTGGATGTATCACCCATAGATATGCAGAGCCTTATAACTGTGTTATAAGTATTGGATTAAATATTTCAGACAGGTATAGTGGCATATACCTTTAATCCCAGCAGAGACAGACAGATCTCTGAGTTCTAGGCCAGCCTGGAACTTGAAAATCCTTGTCTCAATATATATGTATATATAAATATATATATATATATATTTCATTCCCCAGTCTTATTAGTCATGGCCATGCATCCTTATAATCCTAGCACTCAGGAGACATAAGTAGGAGAATTGTTGCAAGTTTAAGACCAGTCTTAACTGCATAGGGAATTCCAACCAGCGTAGATTATATAGCAAGACCTTGTTTCAAACCACTCTGCCAACATTCAGACTCTATTGATCCTTGGAATTTAGCATTGCCTGATTTCTGAATGTTAAATTTTTTCTTAACTAAAACAGACCATGTGGACGAATTGCTGGTCTTTCAGCCTTCAAAAAGACCCCCCCCCTTTTTTTATGAGACAGGTTTTCTCTGTGTAGCCCTGACTGCTGGGATTAAAGGCATGAGCCTTTAATAAATAATTTTTTATTTTCAGTGCTTTCATCGAGGTAGGGTTTCACTCTGTAGCCCAGGCAGCCCCAACTCACAATGTAAATAGCCTGGAACTTATAGCATCTCTCCTACCTCTGCCTCCCAAGGGCTGAGATTACAGGCATGAGCCACCATACTCTGCTGGGGGAGTCTTACCGAGTATTTAGCTACATTTTCTGTGGTGCTGTGTATTAAAACCCAGGACCTTGTGTGTACTAGGTAAATGATCTATACCTGAACTTTACCCCCATGCAATTTTAGTTGATCAGTTTTGAATGGTCACTTAAAGGAGGTTGTGCTTTATAATTTAAAAAGTTTACAGTGACCAAGCATAGTGATTCTTACTTCTAATCCCAGCATGCTGGAGACAGAAGCAGGATTTCTGCAAGTTTTAGGCCAATCTGAGTTGTATATTGAGATGCATCTCAAAAGAGAAAAAAAAATCTAGCCTGGAGAGATGGCTTATTAGATAAAGTGCCTTCCATGTAAGCATGAGGACTAGAGTTCGAATCCCCAGGACCCACATAAAAGCTGGGCAGGCATGGCAGCCTCTTGTTATCCCTGTACTCCAGAGGCAGAGATAGCAGTCCCCATGGGCAAGCCAGCTAGGTAAGGCTACCCAAATCAGTGAGCTCTGGGTTCAATTGAGAGACCCTGAGAGAGCAATTGAAGAAGACATGTTGTGAACTTTGGGCCTCAACAGCCACGTGTGCTTCCATACCTACATGTGCCCCACACATGCAAACACACACGTGCAGCACATGCATCACATCCACACCCACATGCAAGATAAAAAAGCAAACTGTTAGCTGGATGTAGAGATTAATATCTATAATCCCACCACTTGGGATGCTGAAACAGGAGGACTGCTGTGAGTCTGAGGCCAGCCTGGTATAACAGTGAGACCCTATCTCAAAAACTCAAACAAGTCCCAAACCCAAAAGCTTATAATTGCAAGTGTTGGTGGCAGAGGTTTATAAGCTGGAAGCAGCCTGCTTGCTGAGCAGTTGATTAATAAGCACTAGTAAAGGTGTCCCGGTGGCGCAACAGAGGGGAAAGGAGCTGGACAGGATGTGGCTGGATGAATAAGGACCGAGTAAAAGGTTTGTGTATCTGGGAGACTGGACACGTAAACCTGAAGATGGGAGAGTGGTGTCTGAGACTACTTTCAGAAGTCCAGGACACTAGGTGGTGTCCCCTTCAGTGTAGTCATAGGCATGGATGCTTGGGTGGCTGAGATGGAGTGGAGATCCTTAGAGGTGAGGATATCAAGGAAGTGGGAAACCCAGGTTATTGAAGGGCTACCCGGTGACCTCCAAGTGGATGGTGACTGAACTTGTTTGGAAAACAAAGCTGTGAGCCGTGCATTTCCGTAAATGAGGAAAGGGGACTCTTCAGTGACAGACACAGCAGAATGATGGGGACCCCAGAAGAGCAGCAGGGATTTTGTTGTATTTTTTTCCTTTCTAACAAGAGGGGACATATGGTTCCAGTCTGACAGTGGTGAGTCTGAGGTACATCTGTGCCTTCTGGTTTTAAGATTAATGTGCTAGAAAGAACATCCATCTTTTGAAAAATCTTCAAAGTAAAGCTTTCTGGTTGGGAGAGCCAAGACCGAGGGCAGGAGGTTGGCCAGTTGTTCCTGAGGAGAGGTTAACGGCATCTGAAGAGTGCTGACCTCCTATGTACAGGACTTCCAGAGGACATCAAGGTAGTTAGCTGCCAGGGAAGAGGAGGAAGGGGCCAGATGAAGTCAGTGCAACTGTGCATATACCAGGGAGATTTGGGTGTGGAGAGTATGGAAGAGAGAGGTAATTAAGGGGTGGATCTGTGCTGGACACTGATAGGAGAGTTGATGATTTTAGGCCTACATGTTAATTAGTAGATGCAGGCAATGGGCCTTAGGAATTAAAAAAAAATTTTTTTAGTTGTGTAGCTCCAGCTACTGGGGAGACTGAGGCAGGTGAATTGCTTGAGCCAGAGTTTGAAACCAGTCTGGATAAAATAGTATGACTCACCTCTCTAAAACAAAAAGAGTTCTTCAAATTGTATAGCTAGGTAGGTGTTGAGTCAGAATAAGAACTCTGACCTGCCAGCTACATAGTGGTAGATGTTTCCCCTTAGGAACTGTAGTAAAGCCAATGAATGACCAGAGGATCCCGAGTGTTGTAGTGCTGAGTAGTGACTGACTATCCCTTTCTCCCGTTTCTGTTCCCACTCTTCCTTCTCCTTTTTGAAGTAGAGGCTTTCCTTTAAGTGATGTCTTTTCCATGCTTATATCAATGCTAGGGTTCTGTCACCAAAGAAGTTAGGGAGATGGAAATTGTTGAGTAAAAATACTGAGACCTAGTTCATTCTAGCTATCACATTCCTTTTGTTGCAGCTAAGTGCTTTGGAAGTAAAGGAGACTTGAGTTCTATTTTGTTGTTTTCAGATAGGGAAATTGCCTGTATTCCCAGCACTTGGGAGGCTGAGGCAGGAAGATTGCTACAAGTTCAAGGCAAGCCTGGGCTACATTATGAGACTGTGTTGTCATCCCGCCCGCAAGGAAATTTGATACATTCACATTTGTTATGGCAACTATATTCTGGTCAAATTTCTACCATCTTATTATACATTTATTGTTTTCTTTTCCCACTTTTTGCTAAACTAATAGCATGATTAAACTTGTCTTTTTCTACTGTGTTGCCAACGTTAAATACTAGCTTTTTTGATCCTACCATCCAGAGTGAGACTTGTAGCACATTTCATGCATTTGCTTTTCCAGTGTCCATCTCTTGATTCTTGGAGTTTGTTGAAATTGATGTCTTAGATCTGAGCTAGTTCCTTGGGTTATTCTTCTTGGTTTTAAATTACAGTTCTCAGTCATATCACCAATTTTCTTAAATCTATTAATAAGTTCTAATCTATTTCCTGTCTAATCATATTTTGTTTTCTTTACTTTGCATCCTTTATTCTGATTTAATTTTGGTTTTTATCTCCTTCTACTCTCCCATTTTCCTCTTCTTTCTACCCCACTCTCACCTGGACCTTGAACATATTGAATACATTGTCTACCATATCCTGTAAGTTCTATTTTTGGCAGTAGTTTTGCCAGAAAGGAAATACTTTTACATAAGAGTGATCAGATAGAGGATTTTGGCTTGAGACACAATCAGTCCCTTTCCCCAGGTCTTATTGAACATCCTAATCTAATGCTCTAATGCTTTAACCTTGAAACTTTTTACATGCCCACATGATATCTCAAGTAAAAAATTCTGTACTGTGAAATTTTAGTGTGAAGTGAAATTGTAGTGTACTGTGAAAATTACATGCATAGAATTATTGAAAATTAACTTTAGCTTTTGTGTTTAAGGTATGTATGAAACATAAATTAATTTCATAGTTTAACTTGGCTCACTTCCCCCAAGAGTAGCCTAGACTGGTCTTGAACTCACTACATAGCCAAGGAGTTACATTGAATTTCTAGTTCTCCTGCCTCCACCTCCCAAGCACTGATATTACAGATGTGTACCACCATGCTGGTTTTTGGGGGTGTAGATAAAGAACCCAAGGCTTTGTACGAGTACTGTATCAACTGAGCCACATCCCCAGCTCTTCCCTCATGATAGCTCATTGTTTATAATGTAAACATTCCAAACTCAAAAAATCAAAAGCTGAGACACCTCTGATGAAAAGTGTTTTGGATGACAGGTACTCAACCCCTCAACTGGACTGGCTTCTCTGTCAACCATACTGACTTCTCTATTAAGTGTTCAGAGTCTGCTTTTCTTTTGTTTCTTGGGAACCTTTATTTGGATACTTGTTCTTTTTTTTTTTTTTTTTTTTTTTTTTTTTTGGTTTTTTGAGACAGGGTTTCTCTGTGTAGCTTTGCACCTTTCCTGGAACTCACTTGGTAGACCAGGCTGGCCTCGAACTTACAGAGATTCGCCTGGCTCTGTCTCCTGAGTGCTGGGACTAAAGGTGTGCGACACCACCGCCCGGCTTGGATACTTGTTCTTGTAAAACTTTTCTCTCTCCTTTTTTTTCTTTTGGGTTTTTTTTAAGTAAATTTTTTTTAAAAAATTATTTTATGTGCATTGGTGTGAGGGTGTCAGATCCCCTGGAACTGGAATTACAGACAGTTGTGAGCTGCCATGTGTGTGTGCTGGGAATTGAACCTGGGTCCTCTGGAAGAACAACCAGTGCTCTTAACCGCTGGGCCATCTCTCCAGCCCCCTCTTTTGTTTTTTTTGTTTTTTTTTTGAGACAGAGTTTCTCAGTGTAACCTTGACTGTCCTGGAACTTGCTATGTAGACCAGGCTGGCTTCAAACTCAGACATCTGCCTGCCTCTGCCTCCTGAGTACTTGGATTAAAGGCGTGGGCCACCACTATGCCCAGCCTAAAACTTTTCTCTTTATCCATGGAGTTCACAAATTTTATCAGGATATGCTAGGATGAAAGTTTTTTGTTGTTAATCTTTTTCTTTTTTGGCACTACTGGGGCTAGAACCCAGATCTTTGTATGCTGAGCATTTAATTGACTACTGAACTAAATCCCCAAACCCAGTGTCTTTGGTTTCTATTGCTGTGATAAAATGCCATTACCAAAAGCAACATGGGAAGGAAAAGGTTTATTTCAGCTTATATGTTCCATTCACGAAGTCATCATTGAAATAAATAAGTCAGGACAGGAACTCAAGCAGGCAGGAACCTCGAGGAAGGAGCTAAACTAAAGCAGAGGCCATGGAGGAGTGCTGCTTACTGACTTGTTCCACATGGCTTGCTCAGCCTGCTTTCTTGTAGAACCCAGGACCATGAGCGTAGGGGTGGCACCACCCACAATGGACTGGGCCTTCCTTATAGATCCCTAATTAAGAAAATGCCTTACAGCCAGATCTTGAGACATTTTCTCAGTTGTAGTTTCCTTTTCTCCAGCTTGTCTTAATTTGGCCAGAAAATCAACCAGGGCACCCATATTTTAATCTTGATGCCCCATGTACCTTTCCAATCTAAAACCTTAAGCCTATCTTCAAGGTAAAGAATTTTCATCAGTTATTTTTTAAAAAAAAATATTGGATATGCCTAGTGTTCCTTTTTTTATTTTTTTTTTGAGACAGGATTTCCAGGACAGCCTTGGCTGTCCTGGAACTCGCTCTGTAGACCAGGCTGGCCTTGAACTCACAGAGATCTGCCTGCCTTTGCCTCTTGAATGCTGGGATTAAAGCACTACTACCCAGCTGGATGTACCTCGTCTTATTGTAACTTGATATGCCATGTTTGGCTGACATCCCTGAGAGACCTGCCCTTTTCTTTCTTTCTTTTTTTCCTTTTTTTTGAGCTGAGGATCGAACCCAGGGCCTTGCGCTTGCTAGGCAAGTGCTCTACCATTGACCTAAATCCCCAACCCATGCCCTTTTCTTAAGGGAAACAGAAGAAGTCAATCTGGGGGAGGGGATGTTGGGGGGACTAGGAGGAGAGGAAGGAGGGGAAACTGCAATCAGGATATACTATATAAGAGAAGAATAAATAAAAGTTATTTGCTTCTTTATTTGTACCCTTTCTTTTTCAAGAATTCTCTTATTTGAAGATTAGTTTCTACATTTTCCAGTTTTGTCCTCATTTATACTTTTTCATTCCAAATAAGCTCCCTCCCTTGGTCTTCTAGATTATCAATTTGGTTGTTGCTGATGTCCTTAATGAAGAGTTTATTTTGACTCGTTATTCGAGGGGTTACATTTCATAATGACAGGGAAGTCATGGAGGGGAGGCAGCTGGTCACATTGCAGCCATGGTTGGGAAGTAGGGAGAGATGAATGCTGGGACTCAGAATGCTGGCTTCTGTTTTTTTTCCCCTTTGATTCAGGCTGGGATTCTAGTCCATGGGATGATACTACTACCCACATTTCAGCCTCTAAGAAACACCCCTAGAGACCTGCCGAGAGGTGTGTTTCACAGGTGTCCTAAGCAGGACTTTGGGAGTGGTGAGGAGAGGTAGCTACAAATACATGTTTGGGTCGCTCAATAGAATTCCATTAGTAATTTATGGAGTTTGCACGGAAATAATTCTCCAAGTGTTATACCTAGTTACTTCCTCTTGGCACTGACTTTACCATCTGTAGCTCGCTGGATCTGGACAGACATGGCTTCCAAGGCCTCTAAATTTCCTAGTTAGTCTGCCTTATGATTAAAGCTTAACAAACATTGGGTAAGTGGCTGATAGCTCTTATTTCTCTTCTCTCTCTTTTTTTTGCAGAAAACAAAAAACCAGGTAAAGGTTCCAAAGGCTGTAAGAAGGTAAGTGGGCCTTACCTTCAGGTGATGTATGTGTATTGTTGGAGGTCGGTTCAGTAGTTATTGGGTGACTCTGGATAAAGTACCTCATTGGGATGAACAGATCTGGCTTTTTCTGCCACTCAAGGCTGCAGCAGTCACCTGCATATATGAAGTTCCTTCCAAAAGCTATAGACTGCTTTGTGCTTGGGTTACTTGTTAGGGATTATTGCCATCCCTGTGTGTTTTGGTATCAAATTCAGGGCCTTGAACATACCAGGCAAGTGCTCTACCAATGAGCCACACACCCTCAGCCTCCAAATTTGTATTTTTGACAAGTTCTCAGGTCTTGTGCTGTGGGTCCCAAGACCTATTTGTCAGGAAAGGGTTCCCTTTGGCTTTGGGAAACCATCCTGGCTGCCCTTGTCCCCACCACTTACCTATCAGTCCCTGCCTGGCTAGTGGAGAACGGTCTTGTCCTAGCTAGACAAGCAAATTTCTGGGAAGAACCCCCATCCAGGCTATATTCCCCTGCTCCTCTGACTGTAAGGTGTTTTCCATAGATTCATGAACTATGCTTATTTTTTCTTTTCTTGTTTGGTAATCAGCCTGCAAGGCAGAATGGGAAGAAAGTAACATCCAGACCATCATCTGCTCCCCAGTTGGTTCATGGCAATGATCACGCCAGTCGGGAGGCTGAGTTAAAGAAGAAAAGGGTGAGCCTTTTGTCTTTGGGGAGCAATGCCTGGTCTGAATATGTGATCTGCATAAGTGTTGGGCCGAAGGGCAGAGCTTCTTGATGCTCTTTGTGTTGGGGGTTGGCGGAGTGAGGCAGGTTACATTGATACTGCTTTTAAGTTTTCCATTTGCTCACCTTGTTCCACCCTCCCAGTTCATTGCTGTCTGGCTTGTGTTTCCAGTGTTCCACTGAAACCCCTACTGCTGGCCTCCCCTCTACACCCCCCGTGTCCCATTTGAGACCATGCTTTCCTTAAAGCTCTCTCATCTGACTCTGTCATCTCCCGTTCTTGGGTGTCTCCTTCCTCTGTGACTAGCCCTTGCGGTCTCTTGCTGCCTTTTCCCTGTTTTCTTGGTTGGTTGAGGCACGATCTTGCTTTGCTGCCCAGGCTGGTCTTGGATGCTTGGGCTCATGAAATCCTTCCCCCTCAAACCCTGAGTAGTAGTATGTGCCAGTGTGGCAGCTCCCTTTCTGCTCGGTACATCCTATGACCTTGTCCTTCTCTGGACTCGATTGTTTTCCGTTCAGAATGCTTCTCTCTCTGCTTCTCAGGTACTCTTTTATTTTTCTTTCTTTTATTCTTTTCAACTCTTAGTAATTTTAATTACTATACTTTTTTTCTTATTTGTGGTGGAGGTGGTGGTGGGAGGGAGCAAGTGTGGGCCCCCTCCCC